GTGGGTTTAATTCCAGACCTGAAGGGCAGCTAGGGGCCATAGTCTCAGTGGTTCCACCAGGCTCTATCGGACCAGCAAACCTGGTCCCCCCCCCTTTTTTCTTTCCTTCCAAATGATGATGAGTTTTGTTCCACATTGTTCTCCCTCTCTATACAGGATCTCCTACATAGATACCCCTGTGAGTGGTTGACAGTGGTAGCTGGGCACCATCTAGTTCTTCTGGTCTCATAGTCATATAGGCTGCAGATCACATGGTGTACCAGTGGCCAGGACTAATTGTTTCCATGAATCTTTGGTTTTCTTCATTCCTCTTTGCTCTGGACGAGGAGAGACCCATCGTTGCATCTCGATGGCTGCTTGCAGGCTTTTAAGATCCCAGTCGCTACTCGCCACAGTAGGAGGTGGAACCAGGTTTTGTGTAATATGTTATGCCATTTGAGCTTGATGTCCCCTGTGACCATGATCCCGAGCCCACAGGGTCATGTTTGTTTGGTCTTGAGAGGAGCAGGTCACCAGGCCTTTCTTCCATGAAGCGGCTGCGGGGAGTCCAACTACCACCTTTTCTGTTAGCAGCCGAGGGCTTACCCACTGCGCCACCAGGGCTCTTTAAGCAAACATATAACTCACTGCTGTTGAGTCGATTCCGACTCATAGAGACCCCCACTGGGTTTCCAAGGCTGTAAATCTTCATGGAAGCGGACTGCCTCATCTCTCTTCCACAAAATTGCTGGTGTGTTCAAACCACTGACCTTCTGGTTAACAGCCAAATGCCTCATTCACGACACCACCAGAGCTCCTTAAGACAATCTATACGAGAAACAAACAAAAACAACCAAACTCATTGCCATTGAGTCAATTCCAACTCATAGCAACCCCCATTGGGTTTCTGAGGCAGTAAATCTTCATGGAAGTAGATCACCCCATCTTCCTCCCATGGAGAAGCTGGTGGATTTGAACCACTGACCTTCTGGTTATCAACCAAATGCCTTATTCACTCTGCCCCCAGAGCACCTTAAGCAAATAATAATAATAATAAAACAAATTCACTGCCATCAAGTTGAATCTGACTCATAGTGACCCCTCCTTGGGTTTCAGAGGTGATATCTCTATGGAAGTAGATTGTCCAACCGTCCTTCCAAGGAGTGGCTGGTGGGATTGAACCACCAGCCTTCTGATGAGCAATCAAATGCCTTAGGCACTGTGCCACCAGAGCTCTTGCAAATATACAGAAACCAAAAATTATTCATGGCTATCAGGGTGGGAGGAAAGGGGAGAGGGAGGGTTTTTATTTAGGGGGTGTTGGGTTAATGTAAATGGTGGAGGGATATTTTGGGAAAGGTTAGCGAGAAGGGTGCCTAATTTGAAGAATCACTGTCACCAATGTGTAAATGTGGACCTAGTTGTGCTGGTGAATAAAAAATCTCTCTCTTGTCTGCAGGTGCGCCCACCAATTAAGCACACCTTCACTTGGCTAAAAGCTCTCCTCCGTTTTAAAACTCTGTCTAGGGACACAGCTTCTATACATGAGCTTTCCTGTCTGTGAGAATCGCTCCAGACCCATAAAAGCCCCTCACACCCATGGGAGGAGGGGAGGAATGCATTGCTAGAGCACAGGACATTTTTAGGCAGTGAAACTGTTCCATGTGACACTGTAACTGTGGATCCATGACACTGGGCAGTTTTTCAAAGCACCAACAACTCAAAGGGTGAACCTGAGGTGATCTATTGTTGTTGTTGGGTGCCAGCGGGTCAGCTCTGACTCCTAGTGACCCGGTGAACAACAGAATGAAGTACTGCCCGGTCCCGCACGGGCCTCGCAGTCCCTGCTGTACCTGAGCCCACTGTGGCAGCCACTGTCAGTGCATGTCATTGAGGGTCCCCCCTTTTTTGCTGACCCTCTCTACTTTACCAGCATGACATCTTTCTCCGGGGAATGGTCCTTTCTGACAACAAAGGGGGTGAGACACAGTCTGGCCTTTCTCGCCTCCAGGGGGCATTCTGGCTGTCTGTCTTGCAGGACAGACTTGCTCGTTCTTGTGGTGGTCCGTGGTATGCTCACGATTCTTCAGTCTTCCTTGTTCATTGTCTAGCTCTCACAGGCACATGAAGTGATTGAAAACAGCACGGCCTGACTCCCATGCTCACCGCACCCTACTCTTCAAAGAAACATCTTTGCTCTTCAACGCTGGAAAGAGGTCTTTTGCTGCAGATTTGCCCATTTGGTTAATACTATGTATCAATATTGGTTCATCATTGTAACCAACGTGCAACAGGAATGCCAGATGAATGCCAGATGATAATAATAGAAACAGTGGATGGTGGGGAGAGGAGATACATGGGAACTCCCTGCACTTTCTGCACAATTTTTCTTTCAACCTAAAACTTCTCTAAAAATAGTCTAAAACCCCAGTTGTGTGAGGACCCCTGGCTTCCGCATAAGGACTCCTCCTACGCGTACAGACACTCCCACTTGTCTAAGAACCCTACTCGCCTACATAGGGACCCCTCCTGTCTTTATAAGAATGTCTCCCATGTGTTTAAGAAGCCCACAAGGTCAGTAAGGATTACTTCAATGGGGATGGGGATACCTTGGCCCCTTACCATTCACCCTACAGTTTATGAAGCTTTATTCCAGCCTCTGTCATGTTGAACCACTGATAGCGTGTTGATAGATGAGGAAGGAGAGGTCCTGGGAGGGAACTTGGCCCCAGTGAGGTCACCTCCTAGGTGGTCAATGTTGGGGCTAGAACTAAGTTTGCCGGGAATCCCAGCCCAGGGGCCTTTGCCGTGAAGCAGGGCTGGACGTGACGCTTGGAGTCTTCCCCCCTGCACCCCCGGAGGGGCCTGCATCCGCTGAGGAAGACAGGGAGACTGTGTTCCTCGTCCTCCGTGCCCGAATGCTGGCCCAGATTGGTGAGAAAGGGCTGGGGTAGTTGTCTGTGTTGTTTGCAGAGAAGAAAAATCATGATGCTAGCGGTGGTGGTGCTGGTGAGGATGATGATGGTGATGGTGGTGATGGTGGTCGTGGTGGTGGTGATAATGGTGAAGATGGTGATACTGATGGTGGTGGTTACGGTGATGACGGTGGTGGTGAAACAATGACAGTGATTCTCTTGGTGATGATGATGGTGATAATCGTGAAGATGATGGCGACAGTGGCTGTTGAGTTGATGATGTTGGTGATGCTAACAATAACATGATGGTGAGGTTGTGATGGTGATGACTGTTCATGGGGCGACACTGGACGTGGTGCTGATGATTATGATGGTGGTGGTTATGGTGATGATGGTGGTGACCGTGAGTATTATGATGAGCACTGACTTTGAGGCCTTCCTACTTCTAAGAGCTTTGTATAGACGGCCCCTTTTAATCCCCACAATAATCCCTGAGGTGGGTACAATGATTATCCCTAGGTTACAGATGAGGAACCTGCGACTCTGAGAAAAGTAGTTACTTGGCTAAGATCACACCCCTGGGAAGTGGCCATGTTGATCCTTGAACCCAGGCCCTCTGGCCGCAGAGCCTCCATGGTTGTTGTTGTTGCTGCGAGTCAGCGTGGACTCACGGTGACCTTACGTACAACAGAATGAAACACTCTCCAGTCCTGTGCCGTCCGCATGGTCGTTGGTACGTTGGAGCCCGTGGTCC